ATTAGTGTGCTTGGACAGGAAGGCATTATTATGGAGCAGTGATTTATGGTATAGAGAAGCACAAAATTTGCAGATTTTTTGTACATGTTCAAACAGAATCCATGGGTATTTTTTTCACAGATTAAGGCCCTGTGCAGTTAAAAGCATCCACTGATTTTACTAAAGTGAATAAGTATTTCTACTGGTTTTTAGTCAAAAAAATACTTCTTTAGTTTCCAAATGTTGGGTTGGTGGTTTGGTCAATTTATTTTACATATTAAACAAAGAGCAAAAGAACTTGCTCTTGAATAATAGAGAGACTCCATGCATATAGGTGGCATAATGTCTATGTCAGAGTTCTTCCTTGTTCTTTAGATTCTAAAGAATAACAGTACCTGTTAATTTAGTGTACATTTCATTAAATAGAAAATATAGTCCACTTAAATCACTGGAAATCCTTCTGCTGATATGGTAGACTTTTGTCCAAGTCAATAGATCTGTTAAATCTTCACAAAATACTATTCTTCTACATTTAAAAGGAAATTAATAAGGATTTACTCTGTTCTGGGATGACTGATGATAAGCAGTAGAGCTACACTACAAGCCTTCTGTGACTGGCTATACGGTACTCTTGTGGCTCGTGTAGCATGTCATCTTCTCAGCTAATATAAATTTGTATGCTTCCATACCCTTGAATGCAGTTGTGATGATTAATACCAGATGAGGCTCAGGGTCTGCTGTATTCTTGGTAACTAGCCTTCACTTACTTCTTCCAATAAGCCACTAACTTTTTCCCAGTGCTCTTATTCCATGACTCTTTGCTAATAAGAAGTATGAAACTTTTGTCAAGGAGTCTAGAGGCCCCAGGACACTGCTTAGAAGTACAAATAATGAACATTATTTATATATAATAGTAATAATAGTAGTAGTAAAAATAGTAATAGTAATAATAATATTATTAATAATAATAATGTATATATGTAGCCCTATAATTATCCATGAGACTGCATCTTGAGCACTGTGTCCAGTGTTGGTCTTTCCACTACAGAAAGGACGTTGTTATGCTGACATGGAGGGCCAATGAGATGGCTGGAGGTGGAAACACATGATATATGAGGAGCAGCTGAGAAATGTGGGTCACTTCACTTGGAAAGTGGCAGTTTCGGGGATGATTTTATTGCTGTCTTCTGCCACTCAAGAAACAATAAGGATGGTTCATAATGAAAGGATGGTGGGCAGTGGACCCAAGCTGCAATAAGAAAAACTCTGACTAGGTATTAGGAAACAAATTGTCACAATGAGAACAGTCAAATATTGGAACACATTGCCAGAGAGGCTGGACACTGTCCATCCTTGATGATATTCCAAACTCTCCAGGCCAAGGCTCTGAGCAGCTAGTTGTACCTGCTTTGTGCTGGGGTTAAACCGTTTTGCCACAAAGGTCCTTCCCAATGTAAATTGTTGTACGGTTCTGTGCAAGTCTTTTTAATCTCAGAAGCAGAGATTTGTTAGAACTGAAATTTTCACATCACTTCCATATATTATCATACATTGAAACAAAAACATATGTTCATCTGGTGGGTTTTCACTAGATTCAAGTTCTGTTTAACTATTCTTTACTGTATTTGCCTCTCAACAGTAGTTGATGTTGTAATTAAGTGTTGCTATACATTTTGTGCTGTGCCATAAGCAATAAAGTTTTCAAAGAATAAATTATTGAGAGTATAAGCTGTGTTTTGCTAACTGTTGTGTATTTTTCTCGTGTAGAACAAAAGTAATTGAAACAACATAGCATACATACAAGGCTATGCTCTGCATTATACAAAACAAAGCGACGTTGAAGTTAAGGCTATGGAATGAATGCACTGGAGTTAAAAATACTAGAATCAATATGGCTTGTGTGGAATAAAAATTGAAGCCATAGCCAGGTTTGTTCACTTTATCTTCCAATACAACAACTATTGGGGTATTGAAGGAATTGGAACAAATTCAAAACAAAGAGATATTTTCATCATAATTCTTGCCATAGCATAAAATTTTGAGGTTTACATGGATTCCAGGACTGGACAAGCTCATGGAGGAGAAATCTAGTAATAATTTCATAAACAGAAACTACCTTTAACTCTGGAAGCCCCAGAGTTGCAAGTTTTCAGAAAACTGAAGGATTTTCAAGGCTACTATTGTTTTATACTTTATTCTTACACTTCTCCTTATATGTCTACTATTTATCGCCATCAGGAAAAAGGTATTGGATGAGATCATCTTTTGATCTGACTTAATATAGCTGTTCTTTTGGTCTTTTCTCCTTTTCTGGTATGTTGAGATAATTTTTTTCTTCTCCCCTGGAGCTCTTGGCTAAAGAATGCCCAGCCCTCTGGGAGCAGTACACGTGCACCTTGCTCGTTGCATAGGGCTGCTTAATGCAGTCAGGCTCTTCAGAGACTTCAGCTGTCAAAATCTTTCCAGTTCTTGACAGCAGACTTCACTGAGGGTTTACAGAGATTTGAGATTTGATCAAATTTGTGCTAAAGGCACATATCTACTATGTTCTTCCCACTTTCAAACTTTTGGCACTAGAGCATAAAATGTGGGGCATATAACCAATTGCACGATTCTTTTATTAGAACCAGAAAATCACATTTTCTTTCAAAAACGTTTAGCTCTTTTTACTTTAAGACAATTAGCGAGACACAGATGCTTGCTCTGAAAAAATATTTCACTTTAATTAGTTAATTAATTAATTGAAAAAGGTGATGAGCAAATGAAAAATAAGGTTTCATACTGGAAGGTGTTGGACAGGTTTAATATAATGTGTCACTCACATATACCATCACTTTGAGTTATGCCAGCTTCTAAACCAGACAAGTTAGTGTGAACTCCCAGGGCTCACAGTCTGTAGAACAGTGCAATTTAAATCCCATTTAGTTTAGTAACCAAGATGCAGAACCACACTGAGGCACTGGGGTGAAGAAGATACAGAGGGAGAAAGAAAGAAAATAAGGAAAACAGGCTTATAAGCTTGTGCTGTTCATGACTATCTAATAAGTTGAATCATGGCAGGGTTCAGATACATCAGGTAGAGGTACACATGGATAAACTCCTATGTTAGTTCTACGTAGTAATTTCTTGGGGGCTGGGTTGAGAGAAGGAGAGAAGACTTCATGAACCATCTGAAGCCATTTTTTGGGACTACATGCTATTGAGAGATTGAACACTTTGTAGACTAGCCCAGAGCCAGCAAATATTAACTAACTTTGCCATGCAGCATACCAGGTCTGACCAGATAGTCCACAACCCATAGGTTCGCATTCCCCCAGCCTGCCAACCATGCAATAGGAGGTAGAGCAACAGGCAAGGGATGGCAGCCACACAACATGGCATGGTGCCATAGGAAACTAGGCTTTGTTACAGCTGCAAACTGTGCAACTTCTTGCTGCTCATACTCCTCAGTGGAGTCCTGTAGTCTAGGTTTAAATCCCTGTCTTGTTGAGAGGTATTCTGCATGAACAGCATGTAAAAATGCTAATAATAAATTTCTCCTAGTCCTTCTTTTTGCATGGCCAACCTAGTTTTTTCTTAATGGATATTAATGTAGTGTAGATCACATTATGATTATGATTTCATGTGAGGCCTATATATATATATCTCAGAAATGAAAGTATTCTGGTGACTACATGATGTAAGTGGGTAAGTGAGAAGAAAGAAAATAAAATATCCAGATCTGATATTATTTATTCAGACATTTTCCACTGGGAAATACCTCTTGATGTGCCTAATCTAGCACACCTAGCACTGTGGCCTAATCTAGCCTATTTCTTGTGAAATGCTTTTAAAAGAAATGGTGTTTCAATCAGGTTCATGTAGGTAAATGGGTTGAAGAACCCAGCACAGTTGCAAACTAATTGTTTATAACAGAAAAAAAAAAGTCAGCCTTGTGGAGAAAAGAATAATTTCTCTTATCTTAATTTTGGGGTTTTGATTCTCATAACAGACAAAACAAGTCACTGGGAAAATGGGAAATTCAATGGGAAAAACAGTCATTCAATTAGTTTGGTTCTCTTTTCTTTGTAACTCCAGATTCCAGTGTCCATTTTCAAAGAACCTCATTTTGGTCCACAAACCAAAAAGAATTTGGACATTATACCACATTGGAATAAGTCTTTGTGACAAAGAGGTATTCAAAGCTCAATGCAGCAAGAAGGATGTTAAAACTGGTATACCAAACATGTCTGTGTGCATTCCTGAGACATATAGCTATATATTTTTTATTATTAATACTAATAGAGGCAGGGCACGGGTGCAGCAGGCCTTAGTTTCTGTCTTTGGGGACTTTCATCTTTAATATAGTCTCTTAAAAATACATGCATTGCTACATTTTTCATTACCCTTAATTTTTTCATCAATCACGTTAATTTATACAGGGGGCACTTAATAATAGCTAATTAACACTTATGACTTTTTAAATTAAAAGACCTTTGGAGAGATTACTGATGATTGCGAAAAGGTTTTTCTTCCTCCCATTAAAAAGAGAAAGAAAGAGAGACTGAAGATCTGGCTCGGGCGTATGAGGGGAACTTCTCTCTTGCTTCACTGATCACACAACAAACGAAAACAGCAAAGGCCTGTGCAAAGGCAATACTGCTATTAGCCTACACTCCTGAAACATGCCATTATTTTAACTGATTATTAAGCAGCATATATATTATTCGGAGTGACCTTTAAATAGCTGAAAATTAAATTATAATTTACTGAGGAGATATCTAAACCCATGTAGCTATTATTACCAAAAAAAAAAAAAAGACCATGATCTCATACAATGTCCTGAAAATATATTTTTATAATTATCAAATGAAGTGAAGAGAGAAAAAGCATTGAATTTTGACAGTGAGAAGGCTCTCATGCATTGAAATAATATTTTTTAATAACCCCCCTGTTATTGCAGTGAGAAATGGCCCATGTTTAATTTTTGACTGCAACCACCTTTGGATATATCAGGCAGCAGTTTGGATTCACACCACTTTTCTCATCTAGTAATGACAGTATGATTCCTTCCTTTAAAAAAAAATGCTTCTCAAAATTAATTATATGTGCTAAACACTTCCAGTGTTCTATAAATCTCAATTATCTGGCCAGAAAACTTTGTATTAAAGCAGCAGTGAGGGCTTTTTGTTGGTTTTGTGGTTGTTATTGTCACTGTTATAATAATTATTACTATAATAATAATATTTTAAGATGATGATCATCATGATGATGATCATGATTATCATTATTATTATTATTATATACCACCAACGGGTGTCTCTGTTTCCTGACAGGCCCCACAAAAACACTCAACATCTGTAACACCTGTAAAATCCTACATCAGTCCAGTGATGACAGGAGGAAATCCAGTCTAGAAGGACAATACTCCACACCTGAGGTAACCTCTAACCACCTCCTTTGCAAGTGGCCTCCCTTCAGCTTCTCAGGGGCCTGAGGGAAGTCTGTCTGAGGTGCTCGGAGCTTCCTCCCACATCCACCCAAGGCCGTAATGTTTTTGCTCTTTATCAGTGAGTATATATGGTTGCCAGTAGCAAATCCTGTTTATGGATATCTTTCCTAGATAATATGAAGGCAGGCTCAAGCAATGTAAAAAGACCAACATCATTCCTGTTTAAGAGGTGCTCACTCTTTTTTTAGGTACATAGTAACGCACCACCTCAGCAGCAGAATTTTGTAGTCTGCATCTCATTTTAAGGCCTGTGCTTCACAGGGTCTGCCTATCATGAATTTAAATTGCATGGGATGGTTTTCTGTTACACATCATACTCAATAAAAATTGAAGGCACAAACATACTGATGGGATGGATTAAAAAATCCAAATGCAGTCTACAGCACTGATAATCATAAATTAGGAAGAACAATTAAGAAAATAAAAAAATGCAGCTATTCTGGATATACATGTATTGCTCCATAGAATTAATAAAATAGTTGTCTTTTTTAACTGGACATCTAAGAACAACTGAATTTCTAACTGAAATTGCTTTTTTACTCAGGATATACTTACTTTTACATTTAAATGAGTGCATTCTTTCCACATATGAGACTTGTCTTCTGAAAAAGCACAGTGGAATTGATGAAACAGTTCCAGTGCCCAACCACCCTCTGGGTGAAGAACCTTTTTCTAATATCCAACCTAAACCTCCTTTGACACAGCTTCAGGCCATTCACTTGAGTCCTGTCACTGATCACCACAGAGAAGAGATCAGTGCCTGGCCCTCCTCTTCCCCTCACAAGGAAGTTGTAGCTGCAGTGAGGTCTCCCTTCAATCTCCTCTTCTCCAGGCTGAACAGACCAAGTGACCTCAACCGCTCCTCTGTATGGCTTCCCCTCTAGACCTTTCACTGTATTCATTGGACTCCTTTGGACCCTCCAAAGACTTCATATCTTTCTTACATTGTGGCACCCAAAACTGCCACAATAGTCAAGGTGAGGTCTCACCAGTGCAGAGCAGAGCGGGACAATGCCCTCCCTTGACTCCCTGGCGATGCTTTGCCTGATGCCCCCCAGGACACGGTTGGCCCTCCTGGCTGCCAGGGCACTGCTCACTCATATTACACTTGCCATCGACCAGGACCCCCAGGTCCCTTTCTGCAAGGCTACCCTCCAGCCTCTCATCCCCCAGTCTGTACGTACATCTGGGGTTGTTCTATCCCAGATGAAGAATCCAGTACTTGTCTAACTTCATGCAGTTGGTGATTGCATAGCCCTCTAATTTTTTGAGGTCTCTTTGGAGGGCCTCTCTGCCTTTGAGGAGGACAACAGCTCCTCCCAATTTATTGTTATCTGCAAACTCACTCAGTATACCTTCAAGTCCTGCATCCAAGCCGTTTATGAAGCTGTTGAAGAGAACCCGGCTGAGGATGAAGCCCTTCAGAACCCCACTAGTGACCATGACATACAAGGTGATGTCTCAGCTCTCTGCCAGCTCCAAACTGGAGAAAGAAGGCAGCCCACAGGGCTGACAGTTAGGAACACTGTATGCCTGTTCTCCCCTTTCAGTCAAGCTCTTCTGCAGTAAAGAAGTACTGAGCCACCAAAAAACATACGGGAAAATTGGTCTCAGATGTCAAGACAGTCTTGGAGTTGGGGCAGCAGGAGTTAGCAGCAGTGTTATCGGAGGCAACACATGCCAGCATGGCTGTGTGATAGGACTTGAAATGCAGTAAGGACATTTGCTCACTTCTCATCAGAGGAAGGAGGCCAGTCCTCATCAGGAAACAAAGCAGTATAATAGAAGAAACTCCTCCAAATAGGTAGCAAGGTAGTGCAGTATGGCTCCGAAATTGCCAAACATCTTGACGAACTGGAGTAGGATTTACACACAAACAATGTCAAAAAAGCATATTCTTCATAATGCTTTGCCAGTCACCACTTCAGCATTATTCATTTTGATATCATTTCACTCTGTGAAAACATGTCTTGAACCAAAAGAGTTTTACGGTGTTCTACAGGGTAGAAAAAACATTACAAAAAGGAAATACTCATTATTATATATTGGTAATTTACATCCCTTATGTTGGAATTTCATGCTACAAGTGCCCTCACAGTTTAATATAGACCTGCTGTCATATACTCTGTTGAATTATGGAATAAATGAATAATAACAACTAAAAAGGAATTTGAAAAAGCTAAGCTTCAATTTACAATGATTTGCAATTGAACACTGAAATTTTTAAATCTCTCGGACTCTTTAACTCACATTTCCAGAAGGTTCCTGATTTTTTTTCCTCCATATAAACAGACAAATATTTTTGCATCATTATCAGTAACAGCACCAGTGATTCATACTTAACTTTACTCTCAGAAAGATTCCAATGCTCTGCAGATTGATGTCTATGAAATTCTTATTCTGAAGATAACAAAAGGCAATGGAAACACCATCCATAAAGATCGTGAAGAGGGACATATGTTTAAACTCTCAATTTTTTACTGCGAGAAAGGTAAAAGCAATACCTCACATGACCTGAGACAAAAATGCAAGGGAAGCTGCAATTCATGGGAATTGGTAGTGAGCTCTCAGAGAAGGGATTTTTTCCCCATACTATTTTATAAGTAAAGAGCAAAATCACTTTACCAGCTAATTCATCTCTCTACTTATCTTTTCAACAATGTAAAATCATCATCCATTGTTTTTATATGATAGCAATAGAAATGGTGAAACCGTTGGTGGATTTCATCAAGTCTTTAGCAAGTGTCCCACTTTTAGGATTAAATGTCACCTTTGTCTCTTTTTGGAAGTGGGTGGACATTTAAGATTTATAGTAAGTAGACAGTTAAGCTTAAGACAGGGGCTTAAACTACATGGCTCAAAGTGAAGTTTTTCAGAAGGCTTGGCTGTTTCCCCTGGAGACTTAACATCTGTTTGATCTCTACTGGAAGACTAACCACTGTGAGATCCCCTTAACTGAAGATGTCCCCAGCATTTATATGCCGCTTCTGGGACTTTGTGAACTGCCTTGTCCCTAGGAAGCACTGCTATCATGGCAGTACATAAATCAGAACTGGAACTTTAATGTAAATGGGCCTGAATCCATTAATTGCTTTAAAAGTCTTCGTGATTTGTCTTGTCCCAGAGGTCATGCAGTTATAGTGATTCAACGATCATACCATGCTCTGATGTTGCCAGGGCTGGATTCATTATTGCCTGAAATTGTAAGAACAAAGCTTTACGTGGACACTGGAAATTAGCCAGGAGTCAGTGCAAGATGGGATCCATGCTATTTCCTTCTTCAGCCTTAATGAGCCTTAGAAGACCCCAGCACTTCCTTAGTACAGAGGAGTTTAGTTTTGACAGGTGGGGACACAACAGTCTGGCCAGTTCTTTGCATGTTGCCCCAGCAGCTATAGCCGGGTGCTTCTTCCTGGAGCTAGTTCCTTGGAGATGTTCACACATATTATAAATGTTGGGCCTGGGTATTGCTAGCAGTTTGTGGAAAAATAGCATGTGGCCCTTTTACCGAGCATGTGGCTGCTGCTGTGGTCAAATGGGCTCCCAAACTTCACAGGCACTGCTAGATACCCCAAGTGATAGAGATTTATATTATACTGTGAAGCTTTGTGTCCCACAGGAGAACTGTATGGTACATAAGTCTTGTACTGTTTTGGTTATGATTACATGTGGCTTTTCTGGATTGCTGTCAGCCTGGTTTGCAAATTATGCAGATAACAGCCAATGAATTACTCTGCCTTCTTGCAAACATGAGGTTGCCTCTCTGCACATCTAATAGTTGTCAAAGTCACAATTCAGTTCTGTGTTTAGAGTCTCCAAAACCTTTAAAGACATTTTTGCTCATGGATGGATCCTTGAACTCCAGAGCTCAGGTGACATTGTTCAGAAATTGTATCAGACTTTAGAGTCCAAAGATGTAGTGTATGTGCAAATTTTAGTCTAGCTCTGTGGACCAGAAAAACAAGTCTATTACTTTCCTAGGATGAAGTTAATTCATTATACTGGGTAGAGAGGTCACATACATGTAAGAAAGAAATCTGATTCATTTTGTAGCCTGCACAGAAATAATTTTAAAATATACACATAGAATGGAAAAATGGGCAACAAAATAACACTAATGAAATCAATAATAGTAAGAGAAATCAACAATTTCTTTCCATTTTTCAGACCAAGCAAGGAAGAGTTAAAACAGTTTGTACCAATTATTGACTACAAGATCTGCAAATGATTGCATAAAATTTCCAAAATATGCCTGCAAGCTTCTATTATTGATGTTGTGCCCCAGGACATGCACATATGGATTTAATTGTCTAAAGTGTTTTATTAATTAAATTGCTATGACTTACCTCTCCCATGTTAGCATTTACAGTTTATGAAACAGCTCGTAATTAGGAAATGACTCTACTGATGTTGCTTGTTTACTTTGCAAGCAATACATAATAGTGCCACATTCCTCTGTTTAAACCCACCCTCCCAGGCTACCTTTTTTCTAGCCCGATTAATAGGCAACTGCTGCTGGTGCGTTAAATTGCTTTTTGGGTATGTTTAGGGGGGAAGATAACTGCTAGGGTTACTGCTACTGTTGCAGTGCACAGCAGCATCCTTTTTTCCTAGACTGAAAGCTTCATTCAGACCTCAATGAAGTTAACAGACATCTTGCACTGGCGTGTTTTGGATCTGTCCCAACAAGCAAAAATGAGGGTATTTTTTCCCTAAATACAGCATCATGTTTATTGCAGAACACCCAAAATACTCTAACCAGACATATACTACTTTATTCTGATAAACAAGATTTTGAGTTTTCTTTACTGAATCTCAGAAATATTTTCTAGAATACTTATGAAAAAATGCCCTGAAGCTATGCACAATTGGATTTATTTAAATGAAAGAAAGGCTGTAAGTTTTATGCTGAAGAATATTTGCCAATCAGTAGATCGGTATTACTACATCAAAAGGTTTCTTAGCTGATCTAACTGAAAATCCATCTCTGTCTGAAAGTTAGTATTTTTAAATCTATAATTTAATTCTATACTCTCAAATTTTGTACATCTTTTTGCTTATTTAGAGAATGCAGACACCATATAAATGACCTATATGTATATACAGAGGAAGAAAGAGTGGAGTGTTATTATAGCAAGCAGTTGGAATTCAAGATTGTTGTGGGTCCT